CCATTGTGACGTACCGATGACCAGTTGAAAAAGGAATACCAACTACATCAAAGATTCTTTCCCATGTATCACCAGTTCTAAGCTTAGCAAGGTAACTAGCTATCGCTCTCTCTGGGAATTGAATCTCACTATCTAATGTAACTTCAGCAGCAAGTTCAACAAGTTGTCTCATTGTGAGAAGTCCATCTTCGTGAGATCTCATCAGGATATCATCACAGCGTCTAAAGGTAAAACGTTCTTGTATCTTACTGGGGAAAGAAAAAACATCCTCAATATCCTCAACAGTGAATTGACGAGTCAGATATATTTGATCGATGTTCTCAATATCAGTGAAAAAATCGTGATGCTTACACATCCGAGAGTTTTCTGGGATGTAAATATTTTTTTTCTTCAGCAAATAGATTCGTTCAGTTATAAAAAGATTACGAGCATTCAATCGTCCAGGCCATCGACATCCAAAAATACAAGCAAGTCTTGGACATTCAACTTTTTTGTACTTGTTGAGAACGGTTGGGACCTGTACAAATGGAGTTTCAGGCTCGTCTTCTGACTCTGGAACAGATTCCATGCTGATGTCTCTTCTAGGTGATGGAGCTGGAGGGATTTCAACACGTAAGTCAGAGCGCCGACGGAAGGAACCAGAAGAAGTTATTGAAGGTGGTGGCATAAGCTCATGATCACTTTCTGTAACTGATTCAGAGCTTGCAGATGATTGTGCAGATGATGAGGCAGATGATGAAGCAGATGATGAGGCAGATGATGAAGCAGATGATGAGGCAGATGATGAGGCAGATTCTGAAGCTGATGATTCAGACAAAGGACGAGATGAACTGGAAACTACAACCTGACTTTGAGACTTTTGCTTGAACCAACTGTTGAATTTAGCAAAACAGCTTCGGCAAATAAAGTTTGTCTTAGGGACGGAAGCATCTTTTGCAAGCTCAGCGTGAAGTCTCATGAACTGTTTCAAGTCAGGTCGCTTCACTGTATCAATATTCAGCCGCCGTCTGGAACTTATGGATGAATCACAAACACCGCACTTTGATGCCATTTTCAAGAATTAAATGAAAGATGAGGCTGTGATACGTAAAAAGATGAAAATAAAATAATAATAATAGAAAAAATATAGTTAAATCGAAACAATTACATGTAAGAAGGAAAGACTTTGTAAATTTTTTAACGGCCCCTTACAGTCAGCAATTAGGGGACGACCCCTTAAAAAAATTTGAGTTTATGACTAAGCTAGATAACAACCTTTGGTCATGATCATTGTCTCTTACCAGGGCTACTGGCTAATTCTTCAGCTACGCGAACGATTAAATGAACGCCTCACAAGCCTAGGTCAATTGCCTACTTACCAGAGAATATGTCTCTGGCGGGGACTGAGTGAGCCTGGGGTTTTGGTCATACCAGTCCCTTCCGCAGTATAATGGTAAGCAGACATTGAGGTTAGGTTTTAGGAATTTAAACAAAGCATTAATATTAATGAAAAAAGTTACCTGAAGAATATGGAAGATGATGGCTGATTGAGATGATTGATTGAGGTAGTTGATTGTGATGATTGATTGTGATGATTGATTAAGATGATTGATTGAGATGATTGACTGTTTATTGTTGATACAGTTGGAACAATACTATAATGATATGTAAACATTGTAACCATAGTAACCTAGTCACGTGTGTCAATAGATTTTTTAGCGCGCTTTTCAAATACATTGTAAAATAAAATTCTTTAAAGCCCCATTTAAATCATTTTTGAAAGTTTATTCAATATTAAAAACATAATATAGATTATAAAAAACATATAATCTGATTGTTTAATATCATTTTCACTAGTTTCACCATGTAAACCATATCTTTTCAACTTCTGTATTGCATTTAACAGATATTCCAGAAAAACGCTTTAAAATCATTATTTTGCGCAAATCAAAATTCCAAACTCATTTTTATAGTGTTTTTATATCATAAGTAATCTATCAGAATTCGAAAAGTAAAGTTCTTCCATGTTTAGAATTTTTCTATGGGATTTTACATGTATTTTGAGCCTCGGATCGTTTAAAATCTTTTTCTATAATATGATAGATATCGCAAATATTTCAATTCATTTTTGTAGACCCTTATTAGAGTATGTTATAAAAAAAGTTTCATTGGCCTGAGATCAGTATTCAACGATCGCGGACTAATCGTCCGATTTTTTTCGAACCGAAATAGAACCGAAACTATTGATCACAAACTAATGATAAGTATATCGATCGATAGGCCTTATAAAGGTCTATCTAAATCTCGAATATTGTAGTGATCTGATAAATCCCCAGGTCACCACAATATAGCGAAGTTGCGCACTTTGGCCTTAAATATCTCCCGTTTTTGAGTTCAGAAATGAAAACCGATGATATTTTTGAATAGCCTATGTCAAACTCTATTACCAAAAAAAAGTTGGGTCCTTAACTAAAAAGGATAAAAAAGTGAAGAAAATGGGAGACCCTCCTTTAAAATGCAAATTGTTACATTTGTTTTTTACTTTGATTGTGCTGATTATTCAACAATCAAAACTAATCACAATGATTATCAAACAATTATTGAGATTATAATCATTAATAGCAATCAACAAAGATCAACACTGATTTTCAGGTAAAAAGTTATTCAAATTGTTGGTTGAACTTTTTTTTTTACCTTCTATTATTTATTGTCAATCAACCGGATCAACTTAATAACAATTTAAACTAATTGCTTGAAACAATAAATATAAAAACAAAATACAACATTAGATTTCAATTGATTTCAATATCATGGTAATTATATTGCTCAATGGGAGTAATAAAATACAAATAACCCTTGAGCCCTTGAAGGCATAATTACAGGGAAACCAATTTATACATATAAGATTATCAATAATCGTAATTAAATTGTTTCAATTGAATTGAATTTGTATCGGGAATCGATTAGTGTTATGATATTGTATTAGATGAAAGGGAAAAAAAGTTCTGGATTATAATCTGATTAGATTGATGATTAAATCCAATTATCAGGTGAATTTGTTATTGGCCAATTATTAATTACATGGTGAAGGTAATCATCGACCTGAGTAATTAATGAACTTACTAAATGAGTTTCAATTTGCAATTTAAATTGATTACGGTTATTATTATATCTCAAGTTAAGAACTATCTGAATTCTTGATCAAACCGATTCTGTAGACATGATATTAATCATTGATAATCAAGTGATTTCTCCTCTTAAGGCATATAACTTGATGGTAATCATGATAATTATTTACAATTTTTCATTACCTTAATTGTGAAATTTATGTGTAATGATTATCAGATTTAAAAATCAGTTAGATTGTAAAAAAAACTGAGGATTAAATGTCCAAGATTTAAACTTTAATCCATCACAATGAAATCAAAATATTAATCTTAACTTTTTGTCACCAATAATCATTCATAGTGATTGACGAGCTCATTTAAATTGCTATTGGTTAATTAACTTGTAAAATGACACAGAAAAATTAATCATCTCAAGATTAACTGATTATAAATTAGAATGAAGAAAATTTTTTTCTTTCAAAATTCTAATCTTAATCTTAAAGATTATCCTGACAGTCTTTGAAATTCATTGATACAAAAGCCGAAAATTGAAATGATTTGAATATTGATTATCCATCATGATTAAGAAGTTTAGTATTAGCAAAGTTAATTAAGATTCTAGTTGGTTAATTAACTTGAAGGTAATCAAATTGGTGAGATAAAGAAAGACAGAAACAAAATTGTTCTAATCGATAATCTAATCTCATTTGAGATTATCTTTTAATCTAAAATCTATTATTATTATTTTTTTTCTTCCCTTTGAATTTGTAATTAACTTTTCTCCGGGAAATTAAGTGTAAGAAATAATTTCTCATGAAATGTTATCAGTAATTTCCGTTTCCTTGTTTCCTATTATGTTTATAGTAAAACAAGTGACATTATCATGATGATGATCAAATTACTTAATCATAATCATTGAAAAATATCTTCATTAATTCATTATCTTAATTGTCAAGTCAATTAAAGTTGAGTTAACGATCAATAAAATTTAAGATTATATTGGATTCTGATTCTGATTCTGAGAAGATATTGAAAAGATTAGTTATATATTATTAAGAAGAAGAGGAAATAAAAAAAAAATAATCGAAGATTTTAAATCTTATTAACTTATTGATGATGATTATTATCAAATCATTAAGCCGATTGGATTAATCTTGTGTCTAAGATTTAATCCGATATGATTAAAGTGAAATTGATTCGAGAGAAAATGAAATAAAAGGATTTCAAATCTATTAATATATAAAAGGAATTGGTAATCATTTGATAATGTAGAGTATTGATGATTAACCTTGAGAACCTTAATTGTCATTTAATTAATCACCGAATCGCCTAATTGAACAGAATAATTAAAGATTAAAATGAGTATTGTTATAGTTTGTTATTCGTTGATTGTTGTCAATTATTATCCTAATGGAAAATTAATTCTCATTCAATATCCTTTTGTTTATCCTTTAATAATGATTGTTATCGAAGGAGAATTTTTTTTTTCCATCCATTTTCTGTTCTACTAATTAATTAATCCAATTAAAAAGAGATGAATGAAATTATAGTGATAATATTATATCGGAATTGATTAACTATTAGCTATTGAATGAGACTCGATAATCTCAATTCTCTGGATAATTGTTGAATCAAATGATTGTTTTTCTATGTGAGATTCAAATGAAGATTATGTTGTTGTTGTTGTTGTTGCTTTTTTCCTCAATATTAACAATGAAATAACATCAACAATCAACTTTGATAAAAATAATAAAGAGATTAACTAATCAACAAGGGAAATCAACATGAAAGGTTTATCTCCTTAATCATTATCATGATCATCAGTGAACTTTGCAAATGAATAATATTGAGATAATAAGTTATTAGAAATGAGGGAAAAGTTTTCACTTGATGTAACAGTTATTATTTAAATGATTTTTCGTGTGGGATTTGATTCATGTTCAAGGATTAAAGGAGTTAATCTAATCCTTGAGTTTGATTAATGTAAAATATTTATTATCATACAACATGTAAATATTATGATAAAACTTTGAGATGATCACAGATAAATAATAATAAGTTATTATAAAATGTACAATAAATAAATAGACTGATAATCAAGAGGAAATTTTCAAGATAACTTTTCAATGGAAAATTTTTCACCTAGATTATCATTTGTATTGTTATTATTTCCAGGAATGGTGAGTCCATCGGTCCATAGGATTGGCTGTATGGGTGAGTTAAGGGTGACCCTTGGATTAGCTGATGATTGAATACAAGTTGGCTGAATTTTTAGCCGCTTTGCTGTGTCCTAAGGGCGTTAAAAATGTAACAAGATATTGGGAGAGAGAGAGAGAGAGAGAAAGAGAAAGAAACAAATTAATTTTGAAAAATTAATCAATATTATTGATTGGTCATCATGAGGTATCTTCTAGTTTTACCTCTATTTGATTGATTGACCATTAAGCTAAACTGTTACAATACTCACATAGGTAAATGAGGTAACCTGAGTACTTGGTGAGTGATGACAGTTGGTCTGATAAATGTTTTGTCCAGTGCCTCCAGTTTGTGATAGGTGAACGTGATGATGATGCTGATGATGATGGTGATGATGTGCTGAATCACTTGACCAGATATAATTATCTTGATGGTCACCTTTGGATATTAAATTGTTGTGACCAGTGATTATCGTTGCATCTGGGAGGATATTATACTTGGACAGTTCATTTTTGACCGATGAGATACAATCAAAATTGGCCATTGAACTTTTAACAGGATCAATTTCAAATAAACTTTTCTCCAAATTATTAGTTCCCGGTGGGTAAACATTGTCACTTTCAACAACTCGAGGACTTTGCTTTGGATAATCTGAGCGACAAATGTTCAACAAGTAAAAATAAAAAGAAGACGAAAATAATATTTAAAAAAAAATGTTTCGATTTTAAATACAAAAATTTTCTCTTCGAAAACTATTGATCAATAATAAGGGAAAAAAACTTTTCGATTTGAATATAAATTTAATTTTTCCATGTTAAGAATTTCTATCTCCATCTAGTGGTTCTTATTGACACGACTTTCGATTAGAACTCGACAAATATCACAACTTTTACTCCATCTGTTGACTAGAATATCAGATATTCTCAAAATTATGTTTACCTTTTTAATAGATTAAGATTCATGTTAGGAACAATTATAATTCTTTGAAAATTTCGACTTCAGCTCGACAATTTTCGAGTGCGAAAAAAGTTTCCTTTGGATGAAGAAAAAAGTTATTGAAATACTTTTAACTACGAGAATAAGTATCCAATCGAAAACAGTAGATGTCCTCACTAGTCTCGAAATCTCTGATCCTTGAACGAACATATCTAAATGTACCATAGAGTTGAAAAGTTGTTCGAAAAACTTTTCTTTCTCAAAGTTTTCGAACTCAAACTCCGATATTAAATGTAAGAAAATATGTATATAATATCTAGAGAAAATCGAATCGAAATGAATCAACTGATAAAACAATTAAGTTAATCAATGAATTCAGGTCAAAAGTGTTCATCGGAAATACGATATCGGAAGAAGGAGAAATATTAACTTCCGTTATTGTTATAAGACGATCAACATATAATATGAGAGAAAGAGAGAGAGAGAGAGAGAGAAGGTAAAGATGATAATGATTAGTGATGAAGGGGAAATAGAAGATGTTGAAGATGAAGGGGAAAAGTGTACATCTCGAATAACTCTTGGTCTTGATTTTCCCTGAAGACATTGAGATGAGAATCATTTTCATCTTCTAATCATCTTTATCTTCACCATCATTTTAACTCATATTTTATATTACATAATAATAATATCAATGATTAATGAATTCATGTCAAGAATATGCTACTTTATGTCTAATTTTTTCGCTCATCATCTCCCAATTTCTTCTGTCTTTCTCTATTCACCTTCTTTTGCCATCTTCTTCTCATCTTCTCAGTTAATCTAGTATCTATTTCCTGCGGCTTCAACCTTAATACAGATCGAACTTTGTTTCCTTCTCTTTCGTATCTTTGAACATTTACAATCATAGAGAGTAATAGAGAGACTGGGAATAGAAGATATATAAAGAGATGAAGATGAAGATGAAGATGAGGATAAATATGATAGAAGAAGAGAAGAGATTGAGAAAAAGGGGTTGTACTCAAAGTTAATTGTGATATTTGCTCCCAATTGGCACATTAAATCAATCGAGGGAATGACCATCGTATGACCAATAGAATAACCAATTTTGATAACTAACTTTGACTTTTCTTGCATTTAAATTGTTACTCTTACAACTTTTACAAACAAACATGATGATTTCAGATTGTTGGTCAGAAAAAGACAGAGAGAGAGAAAAAGATGAGACAAATAGAGGAGTTGACATTACCAATAAACACAAGAAGATGAGGAAGATAAAAATAAGATGATGGTGATGATAAAGAACAAGTAATAAGAAACATCAATGATGATCACAGCTTGTTATCAATCCGATCCTTAGGTTTCCCTCCAAAGGGAAACAATCCTATTGGAAATCGTATCCCATCAACTAGTCACTAATCACTCTCTTTCTTTTCTTACTTATCTTCATCATTATCATCACAATCTTCATCTTCACAAGCCTCCAAATCTCTCCCTCTCTATTTTCTTCTCTGTCTATCTGGTCATTGATGACATTCTTGATTACTATTTTCTCCCTTGCTCTCATTCATTTTGAGACAAACTTCTGTATTTTATGTATTCTTCATGATGTCCAGTTTGAATGAGATAAGTCAAGAAAAAGAGAGAGAGAGAGAAAGGAAAATCCTAATATATTATCTGACCAATCAAGAGATCCCCATGTAATATTTTCCATCCATTTCTGATTCTTATTCAATTCTGATTGTATAACCATCAACACTGTGACTTGAATGCAAAGGGATATTAAGGTAATAATAATGTGTGGATGTATTAACAATGATAAAGATAACGATAGATGATGATAATACCTTGATTAACCTTCATGGAAAAAAAACTAACATTAATTTACTTTCAGTTATCATTATATACGAAAGTAAGATGAAGGATATTTATCATCATCTTCTCCCTCACTTTCTCCCTCTCTCTCCCTCTTTCCCTCTCTCCCTGTGACTAAAATAGTCTCTCATAAAGAATACAATCCACTAGAATCAATTATGATTCAGATGAAATCGTTTTCGATTCCATTAATCAAAGACAATGAGCAAATTTACACCCAAACTTCCGGGATCATGAACATGAGATTCTCAATGTTGCCACCTTTTGATAATCAAATGATGATAAGTTTTCATCATTATCATCACCTGAAAATTGAAAAAAAAGTACAACAAACTAACTGATTATGGATCTTCCATTCTTATATTACTTATATAATTTCATATCTTCTATCATATTATTATTATTATTATATCACCGAAAACCTTATAATCCTTTCTAAGTCTATGGTGAAGCTTATTTGATCCTTTACTTTCATCTCTATGTGAATATCCCTTATTACAAGTTCCTTTTGGTGTGGCTTTTGGTTTCATCTTTTCTTCCCACTATTTCACAACTACTGTACCTTTATCATCATCTTTCATCATCATCATCATCAGTTTCCATCAAATATACTTGCTATTTATTATTATATCAACACATCTTATCATTGAGAATAGAATCAGTTGGTAAATATTATTAATCTTATAACAAAAATTACCTGGTTAATGATACGGTTAATACACTTGACTTATAAAGATATTTAATTATTGTTCAATTTATTATTAGAATTCTTCTTAATTATATATTGGAATGGTCATTATTATTAAGTATCAGTGTCCAGTCGCTGAAAATCTTGGACTATCTGTTGCTGGATCGAAAATGTATTAGTAATAATATTCGAGGAACGTTCATATAAATTTAGAATAGATCGAAAAAGTTATTAATGACTAATCAATGTAAATAGAAAGCGTGATACTAATATTGATCATTTTCAAATCGAATCCGAATGACCATTGGTCAGAGATTAAAATGCCACATGGAAGGTGTAGATAAAGTTCATTCGTATTAAAAGCGATACAATGAATGTAATATTATCGGAACAATAGGAATTCCAAAGAAAATTATCATCAGCTGATCATAAGGTTATCAATTATTACGAAGAAAATGAAAATATTAGATAAATCAGAAAATCTCTCTCATCAATTATGAACACAGAATTAGTATTGAAATTTAATTACACTAATCGATTCCAAGTGATGGCGATAATTCTGAAAATAGTATAATTTCATTGAAAGTTACCACAATTAACTGAATGCTTTGTCCACTGAATTATTGTCATTTCTCATGAAATAATAATATGATCATTAACATCAACTATTTACAAGTCTATCAAAGTGTAACAACATTGATTGACCATTATATTGTTATCATCCTAATCATCATCATGATTAACCATCATCATCATCAGTTAATTCAATCCTTTTTGTTTTTTGTCAAAGTCTAATGTTGTTATATCATTATCATGATATTACCATGTTAAATAATCTGAATAATATATATCATGAATTCATCTCTTCATTCAACTAAACAAGCACCTTGATTGTGATAAAATTAATTCAATTAACAATTAAAACAATTATCATCTCCAGCAAAGAGTTTCACTTTGATTATTGATCATTTAGCTTCAACAATTAAAGGTTGATTGTGAGAATAACTAATTTAATTATAAAAGTTAAACTTATTTACCTGAGGAAACTTGACTTCTACAGGGACCATAGGCTGTTTTCCTCTGTTTAATTATTAAACCAATTAAAATGGTGACAACAATCAATCCACCAGCAATTGTGATTAAAATTCCAACAATTTGCTCCTTAATTGTACTTGATTTAGTTTCTAATGATTGTAATTTATTGAATATTGGAAATACAATTAAAAGAAATCAAAGAGAGAGAGAGAGAGAGAGAGAGAAGATAAAAATGTTCAATTCAATTTGAGAAAATGATAATCATTGTAATTTAATCATTAAGTGTATCAGTTAATGAGCTAATATCATTTTCCATTATCATTAGTAAGTCTAATTAAGATTTTTTCTTTCTGTTAACTGATTTACCGTTAGAAACTAATTAAGAGTAATTAGTTGATTGTAATAAAATAATAACTGTTCTTGGGTGAGAAATTATTTTGATTTGATTCTGAAAGACAAGATGTTGTCTTAATTGTCTAATTAGTTTTAGCTATTAAATATCAGATTACAATTAACTTTTCGACTGTTATATTTAAAGATTTACTTTGATTCTAACAATTAGAATTAAACATTTAATATAAATTTTGTTGCTTTTATTTTCTATCATCTTTTGTTGTTATATCAGATTACAAATTGTGATACTTCTGATAATAATAAGACTGACCAATTGAATAAACTTAATGGACGAACTTACCTTTTCCCGTTTGTTTCTGTGGACTTTGTAAGGTTGACCCCGTTAGGTTGACACTTTTACTACGACCTTTGAAATTGGTTGAATAAACGTTGACCTTATAGGGTGTCGATGAATGTAAATTGTTTATCCAAAAAATAGGTGAATCAATTGAACTTGAATTGAAAACTAGGTTATGTCCAGTATCGTAAACATTAACTGTAAATGTTTGTTTAAGGCCACCAGAATCACCGGGATCACATTTGACCAGGAAACCGGAAGAAGTGTAATTACTCGTTAAACAGGTTCGAACTGGCGAAGGTGGACCTTTGAAAAAGTCGAGATTAGTATGAGAGAGAGAGAGAGAGAAAAAAAAAATAATTCGAAACAGTGAAAAAGTTTCCTGGAATATCATTCTGTTCATTAGAAAAGGTCAGTTTAATGTTATAAAAATACGATGTCCAAGTTACCATTTTCTTAGAAACGACCCAAAGATTATACTTGGACAGTTATCTTTAGAACCTAAGGGTTAATAGGATTGACCACTGGTCACTTTCATTAACTTTTTGCCTCAGGATGATGAAAATAAATCGATAATCATTTAATCATCATTGACATTTACACCTAATTAATAAATCAGTTCATGATGGTCATTAGATTTGCTTTCTATTGTCCACTACAGATTATAATCAAAATGTTATCAAGAGTTTAAGGTTAATTTGATAGAAAAAGTTTTTTTTCTTCTTTAAGTTGAAGTAAATTTTACGAAAAGTCGATTATTTTATGATTTATCTTTTTTCTATTTTGTTCTAATACTTATTTTTCTACTTTTATTCGAAGTCGAAAAAAAATTTATCATTTGTCAAGTTCGAGTAAAAGAGGGAAATGAAAATGTTGACACGAATATAAAAATCATCATATGAAAGTAATAACAATAAAAAGGACATTTGTGAACATTTCGAGGAATAAAAAAAGAGAGAAACGAAAATTTCTACTCTCGAATTTACAACTTGAAATTCTGGGAACTTTAGGAACGACAAATTTATGATAATATTCATTCATCTGAATGGTGAAAAGTGTTTCTCGAGACTCGAACTTGGATACTGCATGAGAAGCAGAAAAACTTTTTTTCTCATGAGCAAATTATCATATTGAAACTGTCAGAATGATGAAACTCATGATAATCGATTTTGAAATGTTTCATTATCACTTCGATGCTTACAAAATACTATCATCATATTCATCGGTATAATAATCATTCACATCTCTCAATCAGATTAGCTATTGAACCTTAATTCGTGAATCAAGTTAAATAACTCTCGATAAATTGAAAACCTATTCAAAGACATGGACTGGAAAGTTACAAGAAAAATGAATTAGATCGTAAGGGTTGAATGTCCAAGGACGAAAATCAGATTAAATTGTTCAACTTGTGAGTTCTATGCTATTGGAGAGAAAATTTTTCCACGATAGTTGAACAGTTCGAAAGATCGTTATTAGCCTATTTAAAAAGAGGGGGAAAAGTTGATTCATCGTCGATTTCAAAAGAGAAATAACTGAAAATTTGTTCGTTTATTGTCCGAGAAGAAAAGAGAATTTTTTTTAGTACTTTTTTATGTTCTTTCTATTTTTCTACCGCCATGTTTTCATATTAAAAGAAAATATAATTTTTCAGCCAAGTTCATGTTTCAGTTGAATGAAATTTTATCGTAAAGAACTTTTTTTTTATTCTCTTTCATTCTATCATGATTATCATGGATATGATAACATTCAATCATAGAATCTTAGACTCATGATAAAATTACGATATAATTTTCAAATGGAACAGAAAATCTCAAGTTCTAGGAAGATGAATATCATTCTCTGTAATTCAGTTCCCTGAATCGGGTTAGAAAAATTTTTTCCATGGATATAAGAAAAGTGATCTTTCCTAATCAACATTGGATAGATTCAATTGGAAAAGAGAACGAAATTATTATTTAATCTTCTAATTTTCCTTTTAACAGTTTAGGCTATTGATACGTTTAGAACTTCAATTTAACTTCATGCTATAATTCTGGTTTCAGGTTCCATTCATGGTAAAAAGTTTTTCTCTATTCATCTTGTTTCCCCTTAATCCCCAAGTTGATTAGATAATAACAGTAATAGATAGATAGTATTTCCTGATAATTGATGTTACTCATTAAAAGTGTATCTCTTTTGTTTTTCTAGCTAACAATTAAACTCCTCCTTCAATGGTCAACTAACAATCATGGTCAATAATCATCATTATCAGAATAACGAGCCAAGATACAAACATAATGTTCATTTGGAATATAATATTATTAACCATTTAATGCCTTTCTAACTGATAAAGTTCATGACACCCAATCAGCTGATAACCCGAATTCAAAAGGTATCTAATTTCATAATAAAGGCAAACTCTATTAATTGGTAACAATTAGAATTAATCAATTGACTAAATCAAGTCGATACTATTTTTCTTTAGTTTGAACATCAGAATCAAGGAAAGTTTTCATTTTAAAAGTGAAAATGAATAGCTTGACTTCCGGAAATATATAAACATGATGTTATTATTTTTCTTATTAAAAGGTAGAAGAACTTACCTGCAGCAATTATATTGAATATACAAGGGTCTCTTTGGGCTCCGGCTGAGTTTTCAGCTGAACAAATAACTGAACCATAATCAAAACGTGACTTGGGCTCGTACAAGGCAACACTTTTAGTACCATTTGAAGTTACATTGGCAATAACGTGACTTTCATGGGAATTGTTGAATGTCCATTTGAATTTAACATCTTTTGGATCAGCTTCAACTTCACACAAAATTCTGACCGATTCATTACGAGAAACACCATAGGTTAATCTTTGATTACTTTTGCAGATTGGTGAGACTATGTGGACAATAGTAATTTTACCAAGAGTTGGAGAGCAAAAATGACCATAATCATTAAGGAAGTGAAAGAAAAATCAAATTTCATGGAAAAAGAAAAGACAGAAACATTATTAGCACCATTACCATTATTGTGAATCTGATTTTCTCTCTATTTTTTTGTCACATTTCAATAGTATGAATTGAAAACTCAAAGCAGATATCATGACAATCATATTGATTATGAGATCTTGAGGGCTCCCTGATGGATTGAAATTGAGATGACACGACAAGTTAAAGATGAGGATAAACTTGTTTCTCAATCAGCCTCAGGCAATTAGTTTACTGTATTTGTTATTTTTTTCAAGTGTAACTTTATGTACACCTATCCACCGGTGGATAATAACTGTAAACAATAATAATAATACTGAAAACCTTTCCAATTACATGAAATGAATCAAAAATTTTGTTCGATTTCATAGATAAACATTGTTTTTCTCGTTTGAAAAACAATCGAGTGTTAATCTTTTGATTGAATTGTTTAGTTACAAATCTATTATAAAGATCATAATCTTTTATGGATTTACCATGAAATCTTTCATCATGAACAAACATCCAATCAAAATTATGGTACAAAATTGAGAAAAGTTCAGGTTAATATCCGTGAAACGATTTAATCTTTCATCTATTCCACCTAAAAAGTATATACATTCAACAGAATATATATTTCTAGATACAGGAAGGATAAAATTCTGGAAAAAAATTCAATTCTAATAATTATTTCACATGAACCCATGAGATTAGATTCCAACATGTTGCAAAATCAGAGATAAATTCAAATTCCCTGGAAACATCAATTTAAATTTGAATATCGATCATGATTATACTGGTCAATAAAAGGAAATGTGAATATTTTCCCAGTATAATTTCAAGAATTGAAAAATAGCTCAATGATTATCGGGCAAGAATTGCAATCAACATGTATCATTATATGAGTTACCTGAATATAAATTCAGGTAAACATAATGATCATCAATTGATGCTTTAAGTATGTGTGTGTGTTTGTGTATTCAAATTGTATTACTTTTTCTTGATCCGCTTTCATGGTTGGTTAACATGAAAATATCAGACTTTAATCTTAAATGAATTAGTTTCCATATATTCAAATTAATCAGAATATCAGAACTTTTTTTCTTCTTCATTCTCAAGATTTGAAGCTAAAAGAGTTACACAAAATTACACCTTTGATAAAATGGATTAGGTTGATCTGGTTTTCCACTCTTGGAGTAAATTCATTTACAATCATGAAACATTAAATTCTGATCTATGATTACCAATTTGAATCGATCAATATTATCGAGTCGTAATAATGAATGTGAATTCTGTTTATATATTATAATATAAATGTAGAACATATTGAGATTATATCGATAATTTTTCTCTTCTTCTCTTTCATGTCATTTATTTTTTCACCATGAACTTTCAATATTCAATTCAATGAAATTGGAAGAAAAAAAAATCTCCATTTTCCTTTTTTTCGAAACTTCGTCTTCTCCTTATTTAATACTGTTCCAAATGTATCATCTGAATCAAATGATTCCAATGAATTTTTGTTTATTTTCTGTTGATTCAATAAGTTCAATTCCAACTGAATTCAGATCATTTTTCGTTTCAAGCTTCCAGAATTCATGAGGAAAAGGGATCAAATTTAAGGAAAGAAGAAGAAGAAAAAAAAAGAAAAAGAAAAAGGCAAAACCAGAGTTCGAAGTAAAAAAAAATATAAATAAGTTTCATCTTCTCATTTGCCTTATGATTTAGAGAAATTCACTTGATAACATTTACCTTGAACATTTGAAAACATGAATCTTCAACTACTCATGATTATGGAATATAATAAATCTCATGTAACATTATAACTGTTAAAATCAATGTTATGTTGTCTATTTGATCTCTACTTCAATTCTGTTTTCATCATCATGTTTATTGGTACAAATGTTAAAACAATTGAATTATTATTATTTGTTATTATATCAGATTGAAAGAGAAACAGTAAAAATATCAATGAAAAGAACAGAGCAAGAAAAAAGATTCAGATTTAGTTTCATGATTATTTCAATTTATCAGCTTATCAGGATATCGTTTAGTTTTAATCTTGACGTTTTCCTTGTGAAGTTACCAAGAAAAGGTTGGCCTGAAAATAGTATCATCATCACCCATGAGAAGTGGTTATCTGTCAATTAAATGATTGATATCAATCTTTAACATTCCTCTTGTCGAGAACAGAAATTCCTCTCGGAATTTCGAGCTGTGTTATAACATTTAGAGAATTCATTCTCAAACTAGGTTAGAATCATCTTCAGGCTTTATCATCATCATCATCATCATCATTTAGAACCTCAACCTTTCTCAGCATTTATAACCTTCTTCCTGTTGTTAATTCTCATTATTCTTGTTCCATGTTATTCAATCTCATCTCTCGAATCAATTGTTCAACAACGAAAAATGATCAACAATCAATTTATCAGAACTTTGTTTCTCTCTCTCTTTTTTTTGTCTATTTTCATTGGAGCGAAAAAATCTTTCGATACCTTCTCATTATATTCTGATTATCTCAATAATGAACATTTACTCAGGTAAACAAAGAGTGTAAATACATGTACATATCACATGAGCTCGAAATTCTTGGAATGTCCAATCCTTTGAGAGTAGAACGAAATGATTCATGCTATTAACCAAGATGAAGGTCAAAGAAAAAACAATAGAAGATGAAAGTCAATTGTATCTTTTATCATCGATGAACTAAACGTTTCATCATTATCAGAACATGAGATTATACTGAATAAAGTAAATGGTGGTTGAAGAAAAGTTCATTTTTCTTTCCTTGGCTCTGTGAAGATGATTTTTTCCTTTTCTGCCATTCAGCTGATCACACAGAATATTTTTGGAATTCTGATCACTATCATCATCTTATAACATCATCTTCTCTTCATCAACTATTTGTATCTTTCTCATGGGTGAACATTAGTAAAAGAAACAAGTAAATATTTTCAAATATTCATGATATCATGAAGCGAGAGAAACAATAAATCAGTAAGCTGTCAATCTAATACACAGCAAGTGATAATATATCATCAGAGTTTCACTAATCTAAACGTTGATTCAGTTGCTGGAAAAAACAATGAGAATGCAAAAAAATGAATCAAATCAAATTGAAATTCAGAAGCAATCTTTTTCCAACCTCTCTCACTCTTCATGAAATCTGAGATGAATTCATCATGTACAAGGAGATAATTATAATTTGCAAAATAATAAACAGACTCAGGTAAATTTACTGACAGGTAAACATGTTAACTGTTTCATTATTCATTTAATTTACTCAATCCACATGGATGAGGATAAATTGTTCAATTCATGATGATCATCTGGTTTCAATTCAATTTGCAGAATTTAAAAATCTAATAAACTGAATAATGTTACAATTAAAAGTTTCACACTTTAATTAGAAATTCAAATTGTTGGAAAAAAATGTAAATTAAACGACAATAGAAAAATATTCCCCATGTAGACTATGTTAATTTCCTTTTTTCTGTTTGAAATGAATGTAAATGTTACTTTTTCATGGGAGAAAAAAAGTTATCAAATTTCATGAAGAATTGGAATCAACTTTTACTGCTCTCATGGTGAAATTTCAAAGTAAAGAAAAGTTGAATTACTGATTGGGGATAAGATTACAGAATTATCTTGTCATGAAATAAGATGATTAGGTGATGATAAAATGAGATGAGAATGATAATCTACATCTTAAAGGTGAGAGAAAAATCAAAAGGAAGTGAAAATATGGAAGAAAAAGTTTTTTCTCTCTTTTTATCCCAAAGATTCACCTATGGATTTGATAGGAATCTTTTTATCATCTCATTCAATCATTAATTACAATTCGCAACACGTATATAAGTCTGAAAAATTCATGAAATACTTATCATCTCTTTGAGCATTTCCATATCTTTTCATTCATTCCTCATGCTCTATCAAACATTTATCATTCAACTTATCAACTCATTCCAATAATACTCCATGATAATAACTTGATCATGATGAATCTTAAAAATATAAAACTCAGAATTTATCTTTAAGAATCTTTGATATAAAAATTCTTAATAACAATTCTTCAAAATCGATTCAAACAATCAGATTTTATCGTTTTCAAAACCAGAAAGTTGATTAATCATCTACAAGGAAAATCAATATCAATTGTGATTAATTTGATATTAAGATGAATGATCATCATGTCGATGCTCATGTTAATGATTGAAAAATCTAATCCAATTTTTCATTTCAACAACATTTAAATATTATAATTTGGTTGGAAATAGACTCAGAATTTCAACTGAATGAAATTTTCTTCATGAAAGTTATCGATTATTCTGTTGCTCATTTCATTATGGAATTAATTTAAAGTCATATCAATAGAATTGGTGTTAATAGATTTACATCTTAAGGCGAAGAGATTCTTAATCTACTTGATCCTCTTTTTTTTTGGATCATCGTCTATGAATTAATGGAAAGGATCGAGTTAAGTAGGTGACCTTTCTTCATGACATTTTCTGCTTCTTAATAAACTTGAACGAATATTAATTATCTTCCTGTTTACCTAAAGCATAATCAGAATTAATTAACAATAAGATAAAGTCTATTAAAATGTATCAATGATCATCAAGAGGAAATAATCAAAGGCAGTACATCAAATGCTTCGGGTATTTCATATGCACTCAAGAATCCGGAAATTATGCTCCAAGTTACTGTTATTTCAATGTTACAAAGACTATAATATTATATATCAAGGTGGAAATGGCAATGTCTAAATGGCTCAGTGACCTGAAATTTGCATATCATTTGCATTTGAGTAATTAACACATGAGAACATTGAAAATTTCAAATCACAAGTATCATGTTGAATTGAGGTTTTTTTTTGTTTCTCTCAGCCCCTCAAACTTTTGCTTGAAGTTTTAATCAGCAATCAACTTT